AAACACTCAATGCCATACACACACAACACATATAGACAGACAGTCAGAGACTATTTAACAATCCAACTTTTCTGGCCACCAGGGGAGTTGTCGCTTCACCGTCCATCTGCAACACTGACAAAGTACTTCCTGATTCCCTGCATGCTCATCGCACACTCATTGTCTAATTATTAGCAACACTAGACCACTTAGTGCAACAGTGGCCTAATTTTGGTTATTCAACAATGCATTTGGAGGGGTTTTGAATTCGTCATTTCTATCACAGTTGAATAGTTAGTGGGTCTCTTATTTATTGTGACAATAAGATGAGAATTAATTACATACCCGTCATATCTGCAGGGCACATGAGGCTGATGTGTGCATTGTCAATTCAGTGTTCTTTTTGACCTGGCACAAGAGCCAGTGACTTGATCATACTGCAACAACTGGGTCCCAGCAACCCCTCCTTCTCTTTCCTACTTCGGCTTGATGTGAAATATCACAGCAGGGCGCTCCCGAAAGTTAATTATGGCAAATACAGCACACTGCCATGCTGTTTGTTTATAAGACTGGAAAGCTCCAGGGGGCGAAAGCGGTGGAAACATGCTGAGCTTGTTCTCCTGGACACAGCTTCAATTAGGCTGTTCAGGCAGGTAGTGTGGACAGCGCCAGAGACCATTGGGAAATGCATGCATGTGTGCTCTCGGTGTGATAGATTTGTTCTCTGCTCCAGTCTCCCTCTAAAGCAGTAGTTCTCAACCTGTGGATCCCCAAATGTTTTGGCCTTTGACTCCCAGAAATCCTAACAACTGGTAAACTGGCTGGGATTTCCAGGAGTTGACAGCCAAAACACCTGGAGACTCACAGGTTGAGAACCAATGCCCTAAAGAGAGCAGTGGATGTTAGATAAGAATACGGTAACACTGCATGTTTTAAAACATACCTTTCAAGAATGAAAGACTTAGTTACTTACTTAGGTGATCCCTCATTGGCCAAGTAGGATAGTCTTCCAGGATCGGTATTCTAGTGGGTTCGTAGGTAACTGTGGAGCTCTATTCTTGATCTGCATTGTCTCCCGCAGTGAGGGCATTGGTTTCCAGGTGGAAGGCCGTCTCTGTTGGGGTTAGCTTGACGTGCTTTCCTCTTGGCATGTTTCTCTCTTTCACCCTCCATTCGTGCCTCTTCAAATTCTGCAGCACTGTTGGTCACAGCTGACCTCCAGCTGGAGCGCTCAAAGGCCAGGGCTTCCCAGTTCTCAGTGTCTATGCCAGAGTTTTTAAGGTTGGCTTTGAGCCCATCTTTAAATCTATTTTCCTGTCCACCAACATTCTGTTTTCCATTCTTGAGTTCGGAGTAGAGCAACTGCTTTGGGAGACGGTGGTCGGGCATCTGGACAACGTGGCCGGTCCAACTGAGTTGATCGCGGAGGACCATCGCTTCAATGTTGGTGGTCTTTGCTTCTTCCAGCACGCTGACGTTTGTCCACTTGTCTTCCCAAGAGATTTGCAGGATTTTCTGGAGGCAGTGCTGATGGAATTGTTTTAGGAGTTGCATGTGATGTCGGTAGACAGTTCACGTTTCACAGGCATATAGCAGGGTTGGGAGGACAATAGCTTTATAAACAAGCACCTTGGTATCCCTACAGATGTCCCAGTCCTCAAATACTCTCTGCTTCATTTGGAAAAATGCTGCACTCGTAAAGCTCAGGCGGTGTTGTATTTCGGTGTCGATGTTGACTTTGGTGGAGAGGTGGCTGCCAAGGTAGCGGAAATGGTAAACATTTTCTAATGTTACACCATTAAACTGTATCTCTGGCATTGGAAAGGGATTGGCTGGTGACTGCTGGAACACCACTTTGGTTTTTTCGATTTTCAATGACAGGCCAAGCTTCTCGTATGCATATGCGAAGGTGTTTAGAGTAGCTTGTAGATCTTCTTCTGAATGCGCACAGATGTTGTTGTAACCTTGGTTTTGGCTTTCAGTCTACTGAGGTTAAACAGCTTGCCATCTGTCCGATAGAAGATTTCCACTCCTGTGGAAAGCTTCCCATCAACAATGGGACTGTAGGTACTAACTGTAGCTACTGACAATGTGATTGATTTGTTGCAGGATTATATCTTGCAGGCTGTAAGGGATGTCATGAAATCTTTTCTAAAAATATTCAAACAGTCATAGAGTTTTGATAAAGTTGCCTAATAATAGTATATGATATAGGTGAAGTATGTGCAGTGACCATTTTAGTTTTAAACAAGAGAAAATACTTGAAAGACGTGGCTACCTTTCACTTTTTTTCATGTCAGAAGTGACTTGAGAAACTGCAAGTCGCTTCTGGTGTGAGATAATTGGCCATTTTCAAAGACGTTGCCCAGAGGATGTCCGGATGTTTTATCATCCTTGTGGGAGGCTTCTCTCCTATCCCTGCATGGGGAGCTGGAGCTGACAGAGGGAGCTCATCTGTGCTCTCCCCGGATTCGAACCTTCAGTCCTGCCGGCACAAGAGTTTAACCCATTGTGCCACCGGGAGCTCTTTACCATTCACTGAGATCAGTCCTATTTGGTGGATGTTTCCAGCTCTAAAAGTATATAGCAGGAAACTTTTTACTGGCTTGCTGATTGCTATATTGGCCTGAATGTTAATGTGTGCCTAGCACTACCTGCCTTCTGCTTGATCCTAATCTGAGTTCCTCCCTTTTCAGTTACAGATTAACTACACACCTGGTATCCTCTGAAAGTTGTAGTTGTGACTTGCCCTGTTGTTTTGTTTTTTTTCTGTTGCAATGTTAAAAACATTCAGGTACAGACATACTGCCGAAATCTTAAATCATGCTTGCATAATGTAAAACTGCACTCATATAATTGCATTGTAGTTGTGCTATAGCACCCTTCTGCTAAATGCCATTGCTGCCGTTCAATGCGTGTGCAGTTCCTCAAGGAAATAAGACAAGCACCTACTCTTCTAACCTTCAGGAAGAAGTTGAAAACCTGGCTATTTAAGCATGCTTTTGATAACGGCTATAATATTATCTGACTATCGGACAGGACTTGAATGGCCATTAGAATCCTAATCATAATGCTGGATACCTTGAACAGAGAAACTGGCTAATTTTAAATGGCATTTATATTTATACTGTTTTTAGAGGACAAATAGCTTTTTAACTATTGTTTGTTAATGTTTATACAACTGTTTCATTTTATTTGTATGAAGTCCTATTTGTTTTTTGTTTATAATAAACATACTATAATGTTATAGTACAGTGTAATATATAATATTAATATTGTGCTATGATAATAATATAATATATTGTATTTACTTGTTACTTGTAAGCTGCTCTGAGTCCCCTTTGGGGTGATAAGGGCGGCATATAAATGTCGTAAATAAATAAATATTGCTTATATTATTTACTGCATTTGTTGTTTTAAGCCACCCTGAGTTCCTTCTGGGAGATCATACAACTCCCCTGTTACATCAGCTCCACTGGCTTGCCAGTCTGCTGCCGAGAACAATTCAAACAGCTGACTTTAGCCTATAAAGCCCTAAACAGTTCTGGCCCAGCTTACCTGTTCGAATGTATCTTCCTCTATGAACCACTTCGGAGGCTAAGATCATAGAATCATAGAGTTGGAAGAGACCTGGTGGGCCATCCAGTCCAACCCCTTTTGAATGCAATATTCCTGCCAAGAAGCAGGAATATTGCATTCAAATCACCCCTGACAGATGACCATCCAGCCTCTGTTTAAAAGCTTCCAAAGAAGGAGCCTCCACCACACTCCGGGGCAGAGAGTTCCACTGCTGAACGGCTCTCACAGTCAGAAAGTTCTTCCTAATGTCCAGATGGAATCTCCTTTCTTGTAGTTTGAAGCCATTTTTCCGCGTCCTAGTCTCCAGGGAAGCAGAAAACAAGCTTGCTCCCTCCTCCCTGTGCCTTCCTCTCACGTATTTATACATGGCTATCATATCTCTTCTCAGCCTTCTCTTCTTCAGGCTAAACATGCCCAGCTCTTTAAGCCACTCTTCATAGGGCTTCATAGGGCTTGTTCTCCAGATTGGCTGGGGAGGCCCTGCTCTTGTTCCACCTGCTTCACAGTCACGATTGGTGGGGATAAGAGACAGTGCCTTCTCAGTGGTGGCCCCTCGGCTGTAGAACTCCCTCCTTAGTGAAATCAGATCAGCTCCCTCCCTCCTGACCTTTAGAAAGAAATAAAAATGTGGCTATGGCACCAAGCCTTCAAATAGCTATACAGTGCAATAAGTTTAGTTGGAATATGTGCAATAATGACTGGAACGGCCCCTGAAATTTTGGATGGTGTGATTTTAATAATTGGATTTAATGTTTATGTGTTTTTAATTCTATTTTTGAATCTATATGTTGATTTTATTATTTGTTTGTTTTACATTGCCTCAAATTATTACCAATTGTAAGGCTTCTCTGAGTCCCCTTTGGGGTGAGAAGGGCAGGGTACAAATACAGTACATAAATAAATACAAATACAAATAAAGGTTATTTTTATTCCTACAATCCTAGTGAATCTAGTGGTACATTGAATAAAAGTATAATTCACAGGCATTTCATGGTTAATGTGCTTCTTTGTAAAGGAAAAGGATGTTCAGTGCTGCAGGATTAGAGGCTGTGAAATCATGGGAAATGTCAGGAGGTCTTTGCGTACAAAAGTTAAATATATTGTGGCCTGTATCAGAAGAGTTAAGATACACATAAGATAATCAAAAGGATGATCTGAAGAAATTTGAAACCCTTTTATTATTTATATTTCTTGGGTAAATTCTGGACTCAAGTCACCACCTGAAAAGGCATATTTATGGGATAGTATGTCTTGAATATAATTAAAAAATAGCTAATTTTTAGTGCTGTTTACAGTGATTGAAAGTTATATAGATTTAGGTCCTTTAAAAAAATCATATTATTTCCCAAAGGGCTTCTATATGACTATTATTAAAAAAAAACTGGCATGGTCACAGTGAGAACATTTCATGGTGAACTAATAGCATTTCTTTTGCTTTTAAGTCCCCCAGGTCCTCAAGAGTTGCACTGAATTTATTGAAAAGCACGGCATTGTGGATGGAATATATCGCCTATCCGGGATTGCGTCCAATATCCAAAAGCTACGGTCTGTTTTGCATGTATTGTGTTTTTCAAGTCCAGGATATGCTAATTCTGAAAAGCCTCATTCACTGTGTGAACACTTTCCTCACCAAATTATACACATAATAAATTGATTTTATGGCCTAATTCTAAGAACAATTAAATGTTGAAGGACAACATGTCTCCTTTTTGATGTGGTCAAAAAAAGAAAGAATACACATGCCACTGTTTGGATTTTAAGCACAGTTATGTTGTTCTAGGGCTCCTATGTATGATTTTTCAATCCAGAATGTTTGTAGGATAGCAAATTATTTGCAGCTTTATTTATGGCTCATGTGGGCGTGAGCTTCAGAAACTCTAGTTGTCTGACTCACCACATTAGTTCTTGTGTGTCTAAGCTTCACTAATCTGAAACAGCAATGTCCAAGTATTTTTATCCAGCATGGAAAAGCATATTCATCCATGGTTCTTTCAAGAAAGCTTTTTTTGGATTATAGCTCTCTTTAATTTATATGGACAATGAAGGCCAATCCACAAGATTTTCCTCCTGTGATTCTTGATTCTGTGGTTGGCATGGTATTTCTCAAAATTTGAACATCATGATTTGGACGTGAAATGTTCCATCATGTTCATCATTTTGCTTTCTAGACTCCAGATTTAAATGAAATGCAATTTTGAAAGAGGGCAGTACCTAGACAAGGATTGGGAACCTCATGTTTGCTTATGTATGTGTACCTATTTGGGTTGTATCCATTAGGCTTGGTTGATTTAAAAATTGGTTCAAAACTCGTTGTAGATGTAGGGGGCACTGCTGGTTCGATTCTAAAGTCAATTTCGATTTTCACAGAAATAAATTTTCAAAACTTCCGAGACTTCCCAATCCTTTTTATTAATGGTTTGTAACTGTTATTTCCTGTTTCATTGGGTGGTCTTTACTTTGAAAGTAGTTGTTTTACTCCAGAAGCGGGGAAAGGCAAGCGGAGAAAATTCCTTCCTTCTCTGGCTTTAAAACTGGCTTCTCTGGCTTTAAAACTGGCTTCTCTGGCTTTAAAACTGGCTTCTCTGGCTTGAGCCGAGGCCAGTAAATTCCTTCCTTCTCTGGTTTAAAACTGGCTTCTCTGGCTTGAGCCGAGGCCAGGGACCAGAAGTGGGGAAAAGCAAGCGGAGGAAATTCCATCCTTCTCTGGCTTTAAAACTGGCCTCTCTGGCTTTAAAACTGGCTTCTCTGGCTTTAAAACTGGCTTCTCTGGCTTGAGCCGAGGCCAGTAAATTCCTTCCTTCTCTGGTTTAAAACTGGCTTCTCTGGCTTGAGCCGAGGCCAGGGACCAGAAGCAGGGAAAGCAAGCGGAGGAAATTCCTTCCTTCTCTGGTTTAAAATTGGCTTCTCTGGCTTGAGCCAAGGCCAGGAAATTCCTTCCTTCTATGGTTTAAAACTGGCTTATTATGAGCAATGAGTTATCCAAGCGACTCGATCCATGCCTAGCATCCGTAATGAGACATACTGTATGTTTTCTGGAATATATCTTAGGCTTTCCTTCTTTTTTGTAAATGATCACTGTCCATTTTGATTTTATATTCTCCTGTTTCCTTTCTTTACCATCTTCTCCATTATTCATTTTCTCCAGGCATGAGTTTGACTCGGAACAAATCCCTGACTTGACAAAAGATATATATATCCAGGACATACACTGTGTGGGTTCGCTCTGTAAGCTCTACTTCCGCGAACTCCCAAATCCTCTTCTCACCTACCAGCTCTATGAGAAATTCTCAGTAAGTGCAAGATGTAATTCTTTTTTATCCTGTGACCTTTTGACACTGTGTACATATAGCACTATGATGGCACTAGTTTCATCTTACAGAATCCTGGGATTTGCAGTTTTAGGGAAAGATATACAGACTTTTCAGTCACAGTTCTATACATGTTTCACCATACTACAAATTCCAGGAGTCCATAGGATGCAGCCATAGCAATTAAGGTGGAATCATAATGATAAAATTGTATAGTATGAAATAATCCTTGTATTAATGGGAATCATGTCCACATGTATCTCTTCTGTTGTTTTTAGAAGTAGTTCAGTTAAGCTTACATATAAGAAATTTACACATTCCCTGTAAACTTATCTTACATATTCATATGGGAATCCATTCACAGCTGTTCAGGTGCATTGTATAACAACACTCTTTGCACTTGGTATGCCCTTGGGAAAAGCCTCACAGCTTTCCGGGACCTCTAATGATATATGTTCATTTATTTGATTTGCAAAGTAAATAAGCTAAGTTGTCTTACTGAAAGGCATTGCATTATTATATTATCTGCTGTCGGGCTCACTGGGTGATTTTGAACCTGTTTCACAATGATAATATAAGCATAAACATGGGAGGAGCACCAGATTGCTTTGACTGTGCTGCAGCTGGAAAAAAATACAGAAGTAATAAATAATATTGAGGGGGTGTGGGTTGGCAAACACTTCCTTTGTATTCAAACATTCTTGGGGTGGTTATTTGACATTTTGACAAATTGCAGAATAGGGAATTAAATCCTTGACTGATTGTCGTGTGTAAGGGTTACTAAAATGAATATTCATCCCTCCATATACTTTCCCAAATACTGCAGAGTAATTATTCTGCTGATAATACCATCTGGGGATTTTTGCACCTCCCTCCCCCCAGGTAGGTAGGTAGGTAGGTAGGTAGGTAGGTAGGTAGGTAGGTAGGTAGATAGATAGATAGATAGATAGATGGATGGATGGATGGATGGATGGATGGATGGATGCACACATACACACACAGACACACAGACATATCTGTGTGTATATATTCAATGTAGTCTATGCAGAAACCAAATTTACAGAATCGTGTTCATTTGACCTGGAAATTAATAATTATGAATATTTCCTATCTTTCCAATGGAAAGAAGAGAATCCTATCTAAATGCATTGGAAGCTTCTGTTGCTCAGTTTAGAAAAAATACTGATGGACCAGCTAGACAAACCAGTGATCTATCTCAGTATAAAGCACTTTCCTGTTTTCCAATCATTATGGCCTAATTAAGGCCTAATTGTTGCCTTTGAAATCGACTTATAGTGAAGTAGACCTAATGATGCCTGCACCTTCTTACTGAAGCTCACTGTGGTTTTAGACAAGAGTTGAACATCTGGCATGCAGAGAATGGTTGAAATCTACTGCCTAGACCAGGGGTCCTCAAACTAAGGCCCGAGGGCCGGATACGGCCCTCCAAGGTCATTTACCCAGTCCTTGCTCAGGGTCAACCTAAGTCTGAAATGACTTGAAAGCACAACAACAATCCTATCTGATCAGCTAAAAGCAGGCCCCCACGTCCCATTGAAATAATAATAATTTTATATTTGTTAAAATTGTTCTTCATGTTAATTATTGTATTGTTTTAAAGTGTTTTTAGCACTACAAATAAGATATGTGCAGTGTTCATAGGAATCCATTCATAATATTTTTTTCAAATTATAATCTGGCCCTCCAACAATTTGAGGGACTGTGAGCTGGCCCTCTGTTTAAAAAGTTTGAGGACTCCTGGCCTAGACTCACTAGAGGAGATCCATTAGATTAGTTGTTAAGTGGCAAATCAACACTAGGCAAGTTCAGTTGATTCAATTTAGTTGTGGTCTAGCCAGGAGTATTAAATCTTTATATCCTAGCAATGAGATGTAAACTGTACTTGGTTAACCCTGGACAATGTTTTCTCAAAGCTTACTAAATTGAATTACAGTGCAACCTTGACTTAAGAGTCCCAAATTAAGAGTGTTTGAGTTAAGAGTCGTCTTGACATACGAGCAGCATTTTGAGTTAATAGCTAGTGAGAGAGTACAGTTCTTTAGAGCTTCAAAGGAACAGAGTCTGTGCCTCGTACTCTTGTCTGATTTGAGAAATTGCTGTCTGATTTGCTCTTGTCCACTTTGAAGAACTTTGAGTTAGTTAATTTTTTATGGTTTTTATTCCTGGTATGTTTGGTTTCCTGAAGAGAGAGAGAGCAGGAGAGAGCAAGAAAGGGAGGGAGGCTGGAATGAGTACCACATGCTGAAAATGATGCTTCTGTCTCTTCATTTTGTGCTTTCTCCTTCCTTGCCAAAACTCTGTGTTTCTTTCTTTTTATTGTTCCATGTGAATTTTCAGGTTTTGCCTTGTTACCCTGGCCAACACACTTTTTTTTTTTGCCTCAGATGTGCTTACTTGCCACAACATTGTGCTTCTGCTATTTTAAAGTTGATCTTCCTTTTTATTATTCCATGTGAATGTGCATTTATGCATTATTTGTTATGTATAAAGTACAGATTAATTAAAGGACAGATTAATAGCATTTCAGTGGGAAACTTTTCTTTGAGGTAAGAGCTCAGTCACAGAACAAGTTAAACTCTTAACTCAAGGTATTATTTTTTCACCTTAATGTATGGCTTTCATAGTAGTTGTCAGTGCAGACCACTTGTGTGACATGTTGAAATAAAGGCATGGATCTGAACTACTGTTTGTTTGTTTTTCTCCAGGATGCTGTATCTGCCGCTACAGATGAAGAACGTTTAGTTAAAATCCATGATGTGATCCAGCAATTACCCCCACCTCACTACAGGTTAGCAATCTTCATTATTTTTGACTACACCAATATCAGGGGCTCTTTTAATTACGTTTGGCAGTGCCCTCTTTCCCTGCAGGTTTGGCAGTATCCTCCTGTCTCTCCAGGAAACACAGAGATGGGGCATGTCTGTTTATATTAAATCCACATTATTTTGTGTGTGAGATTCTAAATTGATGTCTTCCTTTCTAAAGTACTTTGCGCATTCATTATGCCTTTATATAATCGCCGTTAAAAGGGAAGGTTAACATTTTTCTGTTTGCTTTCCAATTTTCTACCCTCTAAGATGGCTGGCTTACTGAAGCAGCATTATTCCTTCATGTATTGAATTAAATGGTTGGATGCACACAAAGAGATGTATAGCTACATAAAGCTGACTTCTATTTTAATTAGATCCGTAACAAGACAAACAGTGTATCGTCTGCACAATCTTCGCTGACATGCCATGAAGTATGAAGCAGTGAAGAGAAGCAGAACGATTTCATTTTGCCAAGGAAAGGAGAGGTTATAAAGTCTATAGAATTTTTAATGGTAGCAGGAGGCAAATCTCGTCAAATTAGAAAAATCAACCATGTGCAGTAGGAATTGCAAGAAATGTAGGGTTGTCATCTTGGAAAATTGACTGTCAATTAAGGTGAACTGTATAAAGCACAAACGCAAGCTTTAAAATGCCTGTCTATACGTGCGAGAGCAAATGAGTTTAAATTAGCAACAGACAACTAGGACAGTTCATTGAGTGGAACTCCAATGCTATCCATCTATATGTCTCCACAAACAGGCTATAGTTCCCAGTGCTGAGGAGCCACCAAGTCACTCTCTCCAAGGACATTGCAGATTACAGCAAACATATCCCAGTGTTCCTTTCTCTCTCCATTTGCATGCCCACACCCACTGCTTCTACATTAACCTTTTTCTACACTTTCCTATGACACATAGCAAACAGAGGAATTGATCAGCAGCTGAACCTACTGGAGAAGTTTGGGGAGAATTCACCATGATTTATAGGAGTTGTAGGAAAAGAGATGTATAGTTCACTCTGAACCGCACCAATGATGGACCTGGAACTAACTTGGCACACAGACCCAACATGGGTAACTGTGCATACTGATAGAGTTTGGAGGTGATTACCCTGGAAGTTGTAGTTCACCCTTATCCAGTGAACATTGAACTCAGCCGATGACAGATCTGGATCAAACTTGGCACACAGAACCAACATTTATTTATTTACAGCATTTATATTCCGCCCTTCTCACCCCGCAGGGGACTCAGGGCGGATTACAGTGTACACATATATGGCAGACATTCAATGCCAATTTTAACATACAACATATACAGACATACACAGAAGCTATTTAACTTTTTCTGGCCACCAGGGGAGCTGTCGCCTTCATCGTCCATCTGCGACACTGATGAAATACTTCCGCATTCCCCGCATGCTGCTTTGCTGGAGTCTTTTTTATGGCCTCATAAATTAGTTAATTTAGCCTCCCCACACTTTAAGGGGGTACCTAATTTTCCTACTTGACAGATGCAACTGTCTTTTGGGTTGCGAAGGTCGACAACAGGCTACACTCCAACCCACTCCAACCCGGGCTGGCTTCGAACTCATGACCTTTTGGTCAGAGTGATCTTAATGGAGCTGACACTCAGCCAGCTGCGCCACAATCCCGGTGCTGTGGCCACCTGTGAATACTGGCTGGGTTTGGGGGTGATTGCCCTGGGAATCTGGGAGTTGTAGTTCACCCTTATCTAGATATCTCTGAACCCAGCTGATGTCTGTGTCCAAACTTGGAACACAGACCCAACATTGCCAACTTTGAGTAATGGCAGGGCTTGGGAAGGATTGACCCACGATTCTGGAAATTGTAGTTCACCCCACATCCTTAAGCTTTTCCTAGTGGGAGCATTCATACAAAAAAAGAAAAGAAAAGAAAGACTGTTCTTTTTGTCTAATACATAGCTTTACACATTACCAAACGGTTATTACCAATCTTCGCAAAACAAACAATGCCTTTCTCGAATAGCCTGGGCACTTCCAGGTCCCCAAGCTAGTCCACAATAAACATAAGTAAGGAATGCTGGCAAAAGTGAGTCAGAAAAGCGGTTTGACTGGGAAACTCTTCAAGGCTTTCTCCAATTAGGCTTGAAGCACTTGGCTGCCTTAGCATTTATGGTAGTGGTGGTTAGCATGCAGTAAAATATAGAAACCGTCTCTTTGGTAGGTTGTGATAGACAGCATATTCTTTCCATGTTCTGTGGAGACGGGATATTAAGATTCAAGTCTGTGGTTTTCTTCCCAGTTTCGAATTTGTTGTACAGAAACTCATATAGAAAGAAAAAAGATAGGTAGCAGCAGAGCTAATATGTTATGCCTGAGATATTTCTTCGGTAACAAGTTACCTTTTGCAGTAGCAAATTGGAACAGTGTCTCATTTTTTGCTTGTAATATCCAGGCTTGTCATTAACTCTTCTACAGTGTAATGTTATCACATTTCTCTGTATTACTCATGACTGTGTGTTCTGACTCAGTCTGGCCAATGGCGGGAGGAAGAAGGAAAGTAACAAGGAAAACATGTGACCTTCCTTTCTGCAGTGTAGACAGTGTATGTGTAAGACAGAGAAAGAGAAGGCGGAAACAAAAGAGCAAAGATACAGAATGGGGGGTGCCTGGCTCGATAGCAGTACGTGGGGAAAAGATCTTGGAGTCCTTGTGGACAACAAGTTAAACATGAGCCAACAATGTCATGCAGTGGCAAAAAAAGCCAATGGGATTTTGGCCTGCGTCAATAGGAGTATAGTGCCTAGATCCAGGAAGGTCATGCTACCCCTCTATTCTGCCTTGGTCAGACCACAGCTGGAATACTATGTGTCCAGAGGAGAGCAACTAAAATGATCAAGGGTCTAGAGAACAAGCCCTATGAGGAGTGGCTTAAAGAGGTGGGCATGTTTAGCCTGCAAAAGAGAAGGCTGAGAGGAGACATAATAGCCATGTATAAATATGTGAGGGGAAGTCATAGGGAGGAGGGAGCAAGCTTGTTTTCTGCTGCCCTGGAGACTAGGATGCAATGGAGCCTCCGGTGACGCAGTGGGTTAAACCCCTGTGCCGACAGGACTGAAGACCAACAGGTCGCAGGTTTGAATCCGGGGAGAGGCGGATGAGCTCCCTCTATCAGCTACAGCTCCTCATGCAGGGACATGAGAGAAGCCTCCCACAAGGATGATAAAAACATCAAATCATCCAGGTGTCTCCTGGGCAACGTCCTTGCAGACGGCCAATTCTCTCACTCCAGGAGTCACTCCTGACACGACAAAAAAAAAAAATGGAACAATGGCTTCAAACTACAAGAAAGGAGATTCCATCTGAACATTAGGAAGAACTTCCTAACTATGAGATCTGTTCAGCGGTGGAACTTTTTGCCCCAGAGTCTGGTGGAGGATTCTTCTTTGGAGGTTTTTAAACAGAGGCTGGATTAGCATTTGATGGCCTGGCAGTGCCTGGGGTAATCTTTTGTTGAGAGATGATAAGATGTGCCTGATTGTTTCCCCTCTTTTGTTTTGCTGTTGTAATTTTAGAGTTTTTTTTAATACTGGTAGCCAGATTTTGTGGTCAGTTGAGACATTCACACCTAGCTCCAACAGACAAGAGTTCTTTGCCCCACCCTGGTCATTCCACAGATATATAAACCCATTTTCTTAGCTCCAATAGACCTCACTACCTCTGAAGATGAGAAACGTCAGAAGAAAATGCCTCTAGAACATGGCCATATAGCCTGAAAAAACCTACAACCCACTGTTTTTGAACTTCTTAGGTCAACAGTAAGTTGGGCTTGACACTCAGCAGCTCATGCCGATGTGGGTCTTCGAACTAGCAAGCTTTTGGTTGGTAGATCTTATCATTGTTGGTGATTTACCAGCTGTGCTAAACTTGGCACAAAACGTCTACAGAACATAACTAGACAGCTTTGTACTGTAGATGTTTTACCTGTATTGGATAAGATTGGATGTGGGGCCTCTTCCAACTTCTATGATTTTACATCTTTGTCAGCTACAATACTAATGGCGAGGGTAAGGGGAGATGCTATATTTCCTATGGAAACAGCCCACCAGATGGAAGATTGTCATATCCTACCACTGGGTTGTTCTCATATTCATAAAAAGAGGCACTGCACTCCTTTCCAGCTGTGCTGCAGCCTACTCACATACTATACAACCATCCTTTGACCTTGGAGTTATTTACAGCCCCAAGCAACAGAGTTAGTTACTGCACATAATTGAAAACCGGGAAGCGGAATCAAAGGAATGTTAACTCTGCTTTGTTCTCAAACATCATGAAGCGTGAAGTACATTTATCAAAAGATCACTAGCCTCCAGCTTCCTTTGAATGGTTCACCAACTAGTTCTGTGAGCAAAATCTACCCGCAAAGGCCAAAAGTTTTTGTTCTTGATGTTAGAAAAAGGGAATGCCGCGTATTCCAAGTGCTTCAGTTGTGTAAATTCTTGATGCAATCTGTGTTTTCATTTGATGAGTCTAGTCATGCTATTTCCCCCTGCACAGAAGAATTTAAAGAGAGATGTAGGTTTATCATTGCTGCTAATGCTATTAGAATACATAAGTTAGATGCTTATTGCAAAAGCTCCCTCTGGTGGCTTCAGAGGACTGACGGAGCTACATCTGAATTTTCCTAATGTCTGGTTGTTGGGATAAATGTCTGTATTTTTGCATTAAAATTAAATAAAACACTAAAGTCTCCCAGTGTAATCTATATAAATAAAAATGTAATGTTCATTTGTGAGATTAACAGAACTCAAAAACCACTGGGGGAATTGACACTAAATTTGGACACAATACACCTAACAACCCAATGTATGTTCTTCACTCATAAAAACACAGCAAAACGCAGCAGAAGGGACTTAAAAAGCCCCAAAAAGCTAAATGACGGAAAGCTAAATGACAATACAGAAAAAAGGAAAGAAAGATAGAGAGAAGGGGAGAAAAAAGAAAGAAAAGAAAGAGGGAGGGAAAGAAAGAAGGAAAGTGAGAAGGAAGGAAGGAAAGAGGTAAAGAAGGAAGAAAGAGAAAGAGGGAGGGAAAGAAAAAGGGGAAGGAAGGAAAGTTAGAGAAGGAAGGAAGGAAAGAAGGAAGGAAGGAAGGAAGGAAGGAAGGAAGGAAGGAAGGAAGGAGAAGAGGACAAAGTAGATGAGAAGAGAAGGAGAGGAAGCAAAGAAGGAAGGAAGGAGAGAAGGAAGGAAGGAGAGAAGGAAAGGAAAAAGGAAAAAAAGGAAGGAAAGCGGGAGCGAAGGAAGGGGGGAAGATGTAGAGAAAGAAGGAGTGAAGGAAAGAGAAGGAAGAAAAGAGGGATAGCAGAAGAGAAAGAAAAAGGGGAAGGAAAGAGATAGAGAAGGAAGGAAGAAGAGAAGGAAAGAAGGGAAAGCAGGAAGGAAAGAGGGAGTGAAGGAAGGAGGGAAAGAAGGAGAGAAAGAGGGAAGGTTGGCCACAGCAACACGTGGTGGATACAGCTAGTCTCTGTATAAAATGTTTGTTTTCCCTAATTTTCTAGGACGCTAGAGTTCCTAATGAGGCATTTGGCTCATCTTGCCGATTACTGTGCCATCACAAACATGCACACAAAGAACCTGGCAATTGTCTGGGCACCAAACCTGCTAAGGTAAGTGTGTTTGTATCAAATCAGAGAGGTGCTATATTAAATCAGAAATATTTTACACAAGTTGGTGAGAAGTCTAAAAGTATTTTTGTATAAACCTGTGATTATTTATACCTGGCTTATGAGACTACTTTGTGTCATAGCCTTGCTTGAGTGCTATTAAATAGAAACTTCAAGATTCCTCAAGATTAGACCTGTAGAGTTAAATACTCTGTGAAGCATGTGCCCAGCGGACCTTTGCTTATATGTGAACTTTCCTTGTTTTTATGGAAATTAATATGGAAAAATGATTTCTTGCTCTACCCTGGAAAGTTGGGAGGGATTAGAATGAAAAATTACTGCATTTTGGAGTGGTTTTTGAATCATTTGATTCAATTTGGTTGGATAGAAATTGTCTGAAGAATATATCTTGCAACCATTAGTGGCTTCATGAGTAAATTTCAAGACCCCAAGGGATTGTGGCACAGCTGGCTGAGTGTCAGCTGCATTAAGATCACTCTGACCAAAAGGTCATGAGTTCGAAGCCAGCCCGAGTTGAAGTGGGTTTCCAACCAATTGTGTAGCCTGTTGTCGACCTTTGCAACCCGAAAGACAGTTGCATCTGTCAAGTAGGAAAATTAGGTACCACCTTAAAGTGTGGGGAGGCTAAATTAACTAATTTATGAGGCTATAAAAAAGACTCCAGCAAAGCACTCCAGCAAAAAAGCGTGCGGGGAATGCGGAAGTACTTCATCAGTGTCGCAGATGGACGATGAAAGCGACAGCTCCCCTGGTGGCCAGAAAAGGTTAAATAGCCTCTGTGTATGTCTGTATATGTTGTATGCCAAAATTGGCATTGAATGTTTGCCATATATGTGTACACTGTAATCTGCCCTGAGTCCCCTGCGGGGTGAGAAGGGCGGAATATAAATGCTGCAAATAAATAAATAAATGTAAATAAATGTCTGGACCAACTTGAGAAACAGCAAGTCGTTTCTGGTGTGAGAGAATTGGCCATCTGCAAGGACATTGCCCAGGGGACACCCTGGTGTTTTACCATCCTGTGGGAGGCTTCTCTCATGTTCCCACATTTAAAGCTGGATCTGATAGACAGGAGCTCACCCCGCTCCCTGTATTCGAACCGCTGACTTTTTGGTCAGCAATCCTTCCAGCACAAAGGTTTAATCTATTACGCCACTGGGAGCCCCAAGGGCTGAATGCGGCCCACAGTTCACCCAAGTCTGATGTACACAAAATAGTAGAGATGTGCAAGCTGTGGGCTAATATCTCTGCACCATTCTCTGTACCATTCTGCATTGTGACTGGTTTGTGTACTTTGTCATTCTGTCACTGAAAATCTCCTTTTCCAAGAATATGATTTGCAATGATAATTAACTAGGCACTTCATTAGGAACTGGAACAGTTTTAAGCTGTGAAACAATTAAAAGATCCTAGTTACGTTTTTTTCCCATTCACAATAACAACATTGGCCAACGGGGCAGTTTTAAGTGGTATATGTTATTGGCAGATAAAGCTGATTAGAACAACCTAATGTAAGAAAATAAAAATAAGGAAGTAAACTTCATAAGATGGAATTACAACCACTAAACCCAGAGTGAGAATCATTCAAATGCTGTGGGACTCTAGCTCCCATCAGACCTAACATGTGCAGGCACTGGTCAAGGAATATGGGGGTTATAGTCAAACAATATTTGAAAGCCACAGGTTCCGTATTCTGTCCCTAAGAAATGTCCCTAACATGAGGTAAGGTAAAGTTTTCCCCTTTCATTAAGTACAGTCGTGTCCAACTCTGAGGGTTGGTTCTCATCTCCATTTCTAAGCTGAAGAGCGGTGTTGTCTGTAGCCACCTCCTAGGTCATGTGGCCAGCATGACTGTTTGGAGCGGCGTTACCTTCCCGCTGAAGCAGTACCTATTGCTTCGGCGGGAACATGAGGAAGAATTTCCTGACTGTGAGAGCCGTTCAGCAATGGAACTCTCTGCTCTGGAGTGTGGTGGAGGCTCCTTCTTTGGAAGCTTTTAAACAGAGGCTGGATGGCCATCTGTCAGGGGTGCTTTGAATGCAACATTCCTGCTTCTTGGCAGGGGGTTGACCTGGATGGCCCATGAGGTCTTTTCCAACTCTATGATTCTATGATTCTATTGATCTACTCACATTTGCATGTTTTCAAACTGCTTGGTTGTAAGAAGCTGAGGCTAACAGCAGGAGCTCACACCGCTCCCCGGATTCGAACCTGCGATCTTTCAGTCAGCAAATTCAGCAGCTCAGCGGTTTAACCTACTGCACCAATGGGGGCTCAGTGGGGTAGTAACATATTTTAGATCAAATTGATTGTGATGAGGCATCTCATTCCAAATATTATCATGCTTGTAGTGGCTGTTAATATTTAATTTCTCTTATATTTCCTTAGATCAAAGCAGATAGAATCTGCTTGCTTCAGTGGAACAGCTGCCTTTATGGAGGTGCGAATCCAGTCAGTCGTTGTGGAATTCATCCTCAATCATGTAGATGTTCTTTTCAGTTCTAAGCTAAGCTCAGTCATTCGAGAGAGTGCAGGTATGTTATCCTCCAACACAGTCTCAAAATCAAGGGGTTCCAATAACACAGGAAATTAATATTCTGTCCATTACACATATAAGTCTTAAAATCCTTTTGGGTGCCAACACTGAAGAAGTTCATTCTTTGGCATGAATTTCTAGATCACTGCTGAGATGGCTATAAGCTGTGACTTCATGTAAGCAAGATGTACCCTGCTGTAGGTGCTTCTGTATCAATAACACTATGTGATGAAATTAGGAAACAATTCTCTTCCTGGTTTAAAAGTGTTATTCCTGTTTGATTGTGCGGTACTTACTTTGAGAGTAGTTGTAATACTCCAGAAACTTCATTGCTGTGGTTGTCACAAACTGGCTTGAATTGGTTGAGACACAATGAGAAACTCATTGAAAAAGTATCGCAAAATAGGTTGCAGGATGTCCTGCAAAAACAAACTGTTTGCAGTTTAATAAACCTGTTCCATGTTTGTATGATAAAACCAATTAGGAAATTAATAATAATAATAATAATAATAATAATAATAATAATCTTTATTTATACTTTGCTCCATCTCCCCCAGGGGGACTCAGGGTGGCTTACATGAGGCCGCGCCCATCAATACAATAAACACAATATTACACAAAAGCATAACACAATATAACACAAAGCATAACAGAACCAAAAAACATAAAATGCAAGACCAAAATAATAAACGAAACAGCAATATAAAACATTAAACACACAGGAATTACACGGGCAAAGCCAAATTTAAATTTTAAAACACTGGGAGATTGGGTAATGGAAATTATTGGGGAGGGAGATCTGGATTGAGGAAGGAATTAATTGCACGAACTATACAATAAAGTGCTTATGAGGTCATTTGGGCAAAATTTGGTCAGGGAGTGACTGACATTCAATCATTGAAAGCACATTGGAATAACCAGGTTTTCAGATTCCTCCTGAAGATTGCCAGCGTGGGTGCTTGCCTAATATCTCTGGGGAGTGAATTCCAGAGCCGGGGGCTATCACAGAGAAGGCCCCTTCTCTCGTCCCCACGAGTCGCACTTGCGATGTAGGCGGGAGCGAGAGAAGAGCCTCTCCAGAAGATCGAGGGGTCGTGTGGGTTTGTAGATGGAAATGAGGTTGCACATTTCAATTAAATTATAAATTATATTTATAATCTAAGAACAAAAATCATGTTACATAGTGTCATCAATTGGCAGGCCATTCTCAAAAAAGTGCTTCAGCTTACCTTTTCATTATTGACCTCAAAAATGTTGAATTCTGGAGATATCTCATTGACTTTGATTCACAAGGTGATCCTTACTTTCTGCCCTCTTCCAACATATTTTCTCACCTTTTTTTGTCTTGTGTTTTCTGGCAGGTCACAGCTCCTTGTCACGGCCTAAATCCCTGCTGGTGTCTTCTCCCTCCACAAAGCTACTCACCTTGGAGGAAGCGCAGGCGAGGACTCAGGCCCAGATAAATTCCCCAATTGTGGCAGATAGCAAGTACATCGAAGTGGGAGAAGGACCAGCTGCTCTACAAGGAAAATTCCATACAATCATAGACTTTCCATCTGAAAGGTAGAAGTGTCTGTGTGTTTATGTATTGTTTGATGCATCAATGTGTGCCCATATTTATTTATTTAAATTTATTTAAAACTTTTATATCCTGATCTTCTCAACCTCCGTAGAGGGACTCAGACCGGCTTACAGCAAGGATTCAATGCTAATAGTACAATCTAAAAACATCATATAATGATGAGTTAAAATACATATAGATTAAAATTACAAATAAGCCAAATCACCAAGATAAAATCATGTCCAACGCAGTCCATATGCATAGTCAATAACTTTGTTCTGTAGCCGGTTTCAACCATTACTCTGGGAATGCTTCCTTCCATAGCCAGGATTTCACCAGTCTCCTGAAGGACAGGAGGGAGGGGGCAGATCTGATCTCAATCGGGAGAGAGTTCCATAGCCGAAGGTCCACCACAAAAAAGGCCATGTCTCTCGTTCCCCCAGACATGATTGCAAAAGTGGCAGGACCGAGAGCAGGACCCACCAGAAGATCTTAATTGTCTTGATGGTTCATAGTGGAGAATACATTCGGATAGGTAAACAGGGCCAGAACCGTATAGTGTTTTGTAGGTTAAAACTAGCACTTTGAATTGTGCTCAGAAGCTAATTGGCAGCCAGTGGAGCTGGTGCAACAAAGGAGTTGTGCGTTCCCTGTACCCCGCTCCCGTTAGTAATCTGGCTGCCGAACGTTGGACTAATTGCAGCTTCTGGGCAGTCTTCAGAGGCAACCCCACGTTGAGAGTGTTGCAGTAGTCAATACGGGATGTAACCAGAGCGTGGACCACCGTGGGCAAGTCAGACTTCCCAAGGTACGGGCGCAGCTGGCGCACAAGCTTTAATTGTGCAAAAGCTCTCCCAGCCACCGCTGAGACCTGGGGTTAGATCAAGTCCCTAACTCCAATGGAAAAAGCAGGAAAGCACAATAGCAGGTGGTTAGTTGTGAAATACCAATGTAGAAAAGAAGGTAGATGGGGCCATCCTGACAACCTCTAAGTTAAAGGTAAAGTTTTCCCCTGACATTTAAGTCTAGTCGAGTGACTCATGGGGGTGGTGTGGTGCTCATCTCCATTCCTAAGCCAAAGAGCCACTGTTGTCCATAGACAGCTCCAAGGTCATTTGTTCAGCATGACTGCATGGAGCTCCATGACCTTCCCGCAGAAGCGGTACCTATTTATCTACTCACATTTGCATGTTTTTGAACTGCTAGGTTGGCAGGAGCTGGGGCTAACAGTTGGAACTCACCACTGGTCCCCGGATTTGAACTGCCAAGTTAAGTAGCTCAGCGGTTTAACCTGCTGTGCCACTAGTGATCCCATCTAGACATTTTATCCTGAGGGTGGTTTGAATTGCAATCCTGTTACTGGACTGCAGTGACAGTACTTAATATGAACTCATAGAATCAAGACCTATTATGTCCAACTCTATTCTGCTATGCAGGATCACACAAACAAAGCAACCCTGGCAGATGTCTATCTGCCGCTCTCTCTCACCTTGCTAAACATCCATGGCAGGCAATATCCGAAAACCTACAGCCATTTTCAGCCATCCCAGTCCTGAAATATGCCACACAAATCTTTCCTACCAAAACCAGAAATGTCCTGAAAGTCATTTCCTGAGGTTTTTTTTAAAATGGAAGATGTTGGCTCAAAGAGGGCATGTAGAATAGAATTGTGCATTCCCTCTCTTTTCTATTGCTAGATATGCATTGCCTACTTTAGAATATCCTCTAAATGGAAGCTATTTCCTGTTGTCCCACTACAGAAAGAGGCCACCCGCTAAGGTGAAAAAGTCACCTGTGGGCAGCTGGCGCTCCTTCTTCAACCTGGGGAAATCCTCATCGCTCTCCAAACGGAAACTGCAGCGCAATCCCAGCGAGCCCTCCGAAATGAAAGCCATCGCCCTTGCAGGTAAAGGTGTGCCTTGCCCTTGGTTGCAAAGGGAACAGATCGTTTGTAGAGCTGGGTATCATTTTTCTTTGCTCCGTATTGTTTGTTTTAAATAATGGAATTGTAGGTTTCAAATAGTTCTCATTTTGCTGATCATTTATTATCTCAGGAAGATCTGTTGTGAAGTAACATCACTGAAGTCGCATGCTATATGCTCACTATCACAACACCCATTATATTCTGCAGTTCTTCAGCCATTGTTGTAAAATATACTTTTTGCATAGTTTGAGGAAAATATATGGCTTACGTTATGTTCTGTTGAAATATCAGTTTCTGCTAATATATATATACACATTTGTTAATTTCATTCAACTGTTCTGTTTCTGGCTATCCAGGAGGGCGAGGAGACAGTGGGACCCTGCGCTCAGCTAAAAGTGAAGAGTCCCTCTCCTCTTTACATGCTATTGATGGTAAGATGGGGGTAGTTCTTGAATCCATTCAACTTCACTGTTGTGGGAAAGAAGATATCAGCTTTATTTTTTTAATAATCCAAATGCATTTCTTTTTCTTTTAGTAGAATTTTTAGAAGATGCCTCCCACCATTAAAATTATCCAAAATAGAAATTGCCAGGAATACATTCCTTCCCATTTCGAGTAAAAAATATAGCAGAAGGACTGGAAGTAGAATTTTTAGAAGATGCCTATTACCTTTCATAGAATCATAGAGTTGGAAGAGACCAAGAAGCAGGAAAATTGCATTCAAAGCACCTCCGACAGATGGCCATTCAGCCTCTGTTTAAAAGCTTCCAAAGAAGGAGCCTCCACCACATTCTGGGGCAGAGAGTTCCACTGCTGAACTGCTCTCACATTCAGGAAGTTCTTCCTTATGTTCAGATGGAATCTCCTTTCTTGTAATTTGAAGCCATTGTTCCGCATCTAAGTCTCCAGGGCAGCAGAAAACAAGCTTGCTCCCTCCTCCCTATTACTTCCTCTCACGTATTTATACATGGCTATCATGTCTCCTCTCAGCCTTCTTTTCTTCAGGCTAAACATGCCCAGCTCTTTAAGCCGCTCTTCATAGGACTTATTCTCCAGACCCTTGATCATTTTAGTTGCCCTCCTCTAGACACATTCCAGCTTCTCAATATCTCTCTTCAACTGTGGTGCCCAGAATTGGACACAATATTCCAGGTGTGTTCTAACCAAGGCGGAGTAGAGGGGTAGCATTACTTCCCTGGATCTAGACACTATGCTCCTATTGATGCAGGCCAAAATCCCATTGGCTTTTTTTGCCGCCACATCACATTGTTGGCTCATGTTTAACTTGCTGTCCACGAGGACTCCCAAGATCTTTTTCACATGTACTACTCTCGAGCCAGGCGTCACCCACCTTTAAAATTATCCAAAATAGTAATTCCCCAGGCATGTATTTCTTTCCACTTACAGTAAAAAGAATAGCAGAGGGATTGCAAGGGCAAAGGCAATGCAAGGGCAATGGGGCAAAGAAGGCAAAGGTCATTTCAACTCAAAATACTCAGGACCAAAGTTTGAGCAGACATTTATTCTCATTATAAAGATAATAGAAGAAAGCCTCTATATCAGTAGTTCCCAACCTTTTTTTCCACCAGGGACCACTTGAACAGGAACCCCTTTCCAACATTAGTCCAACAAGGGTTAAGAATCAGTTTTTTGTCAACTTTAGATTCAGTTTGGTTCTTTGGGTTGCTGATTCCAAAAATTGCATTGGATAGACCACATCAGCTCTAGTTTCTGATACAGAACATACGCCACCAGTAGTTGCCATTTGCTCGCCCACAGAAAACCATATTTAATAAGCTAGAGCTGATGTTTATTTATTTATTTATTTTAAACTTTTTTATCCCGATCTTCTCACCTCCATAGAGGGACTCAGACCAGCTTACAGCAAGGATTCAATGCTACTAATACAAGTTAAACATCATACAATACAAGATTAAAATACATATAGATAAAATACATATATACCAAATCGCCAAGGTAACATCATGTTCAACTCAGTCTGCATATGTGGTCACTCACTTTGGTCTGTAACCAGTCTCAGCCATTATTCTGGGAATGCTTCGTTCCATAACTAGGATTTCACTAGCCTCCTGAAGGACAAGAGGGAGGGAGTGGATCTAATCTCACTCGGGAAAGAGTTCCATAGCTAAGGGGCCACCACAGAGAAGGCCCTGTCTCATTCCCACCAAACGCGCTTGCGAAGGTGGTGGGACCGAGAGCAGGGCCTCTCCGGAAGATCTTAACATCCTTTATGGTTCATAGGGGAGAATACGTTCGGATGTTGTAGTAGTAATCTTTCATAAGTAGTCAGCCTCTCTGCTCCTGACATCCCTGTTGTCTCAGCACTATAAGAGGGTTTCATGAGACCAGTTGCTCTCGTTGCCACATGGTTTTGAGACAAAGGTGTAGTAATGGTGAGGCTGCAGACCGTGTTTTTGTTCTTGCTGACCACTGGTGGTCCATGGACCACTTGTTGGGAACCACTGCTGTATATATTATAAAATGTAACTGTTCAAAATAATTTTACACAATTGAAGTGTACTTTTACACAACTGATTATAATACATTAATGCGAATTTGCCTTCTTTCTTGCTAGGCGAATCGAAACTTTTTCGACCTCGAAGACCAAGGTCTAGCAGTGACGCACTGTCTGCTTCTTTTAATGGGGACCTCCTGGGAAACATGAACCGCTGCAATTCCTATGATAACCTTCCCCACGGCCATGGGAGTGAAGAAGAGGGGCATATCCATGTTCCTGCTCTCATCTCTCCACGGTCATCTGAGGATGTTGACCTGAGCCCACCAGAAATTGGTGTGGCTAGCCTGGATTTTGACCCCATGTCTTTCCAATGCAGCCCACCAAAAGCAGAGTCCGAGTGTCTCGACAGCAGCACTTCCCTCCTGGAGTCAGTAGACTTCAATAAGGACAAGCAAAGTACCTTTAAGAAGGAGTTAGACTCAGGCAGCCAGTGCCAGACCCCTGGCAGTGCCACAAGCTCTGAACCAGTTTCCCCTTTTCAAGAGAAGACCATGAGTCCCTTCTTCACGCTAGACTTGAGCCCAACAGAAGCAAAGCCACCCAAACCCCAGTCTTTCTCAGAGAAGGTCTCCCATGCCTTCTCCCCCAAGATGGGGCGAAAGCCCATCAGATCTCCGCCACTGCATATCTCAGAGCCAGTTTCCTTCACTATCACCAGCCGAATGCCAGATGTTGTCATTGGAGGGGTGTCAGGAAGTATAGGCTCTTCAGACTGGACTAAAGGAAATGCCGGCATTAGTGAAGCTGCGGCCATATCTCCACCCCAGCTGGTAACATCCCCATTAAAAGATAATGACATGAAACCTGGTGAAGGATCCCAACATAAGTTCCAGAACCAAGAAGATGCTAAGAAACTAGATCTTCAAAAAGAGATGGAGCAATCCATGCCCAGCAGCAGCCAGAGTAAGCCTGTACCTTCTGGACAGACACAGCCAGGTACAGTGTGTTTTCCTCCATTCTTTCTTTAAGTTCACAAGCAACAAGCCTCTCTCACTTCTCTGCGTGCCTTTAAACAAAGGGGGAAAATCTGGCGATAAAAAGCCAGACTCTGTTGTCTTCCAGAGCATGTGGAGGTTGCTCAGTCTCTAGTAGAGGGCATTAAAGGAATCCCAGCTTCTCTGCCGCCTCCTTGCATCACAGATATATATAGAGATAATAAATGCCTGAATATTTTGTATAGCCTTATATCTTTTCACTCTTTCATAAAATGAAACGATCTCTCGCGATCCTTCCATATCAGATTTCCACCCGATAAGCCTATTTTTAACTAAAACTAAATAAATAAATCTGGCTGTACTTGAAGAAGGGACCTTTTTTTTTGACCCCAAATAGCCTGTGAATGAATAAATTGTACAAAAGATCCTATCCAAGGATCGGATCTTCCCTTTCTGCATTATCTACTGCTTAGCTCTCTAGGAGTGCAACAGGAACTTTTAGACAATCTCTTGCGCTTTTCACATCGAACTGCTGTCCTGTTTGCATGTATGGCTCAGAAGATGCACTTTGTCACGCCAAGGAGTTGCCACTGTCAAATGTTGGAGGAGCCCTTATTTTTTTTATAATGGTCTATAGGAATTGCTCACTCTCCTTCCAGGATAACATAAATTATTCTCTTTTTTTTTCCTACCCTTCCTCCCACTAGGAGCAGTTGCCCTCGACTCCCCCCAGGATGCTGTTCCAGTCAATTCTCTCTCTGTTGTCCCTCCTCCTCCTCCAAAAAATGCTGCACGTATATTAGCCTTAGCCCTGGCAGAATCTGCCCAACAAGCCTCTGTTCAGTCCCAGAAGAAACCGGACGTTCATTCTGAGTGTGCCACCTGCACAGAGACTGAGAGCGGTGGAATGGTAGAAAAATTCCATCCATATTCTGGCATTACCCCAGAAAAGTTCCACCTCTATTCTTCTCTGATAGAGAGCCAACTAAATTTTCCAAATACTACAGCTGGAGATCACCACAGGAGTGGATTCCCTGTTGATCAAAACAGTAGCACGGCAGAGAGTAGCAATCACCTCCATGTTGGCTACCCAGTATTCCGGGACCACCCCCTTGTCCCTGCTGACATACCTGGAAACTTTCATAGTGGCAACAGTATGGGTTGGGACCATTCCCACTTCCATCCATGCATGTTGGGCGACACACGCCATCCTCCTCATTCTGCTCTAACTGAGGGTCAGAACCACTCTGATCCTTGTACTACCAGAGAACCTGTTCAGTCAGAACCACCCACCGCAGAGACACCTGTAGAAAACCCTCCCCTCCATCCCTGTCTGTCTTTGGAGAAGAACCAAGTCCATAATAGCAAACCTCATTTTCCCATCAGCACAGCAGATGACAAACTCCAGTTTCCTCCTGTAACTTCTGAAGAGAAAAAAGCTGCCACAGTTCTGGCATATATGGCAAAGAACCAGACAACTGAAATTGACACCAGTCAGAACATGGTTCCTCCCCAGCCAACCACAGTCAGTGCTAGCAGCAACACGTGGGGTGAAGCGGGACATGCAACTGCTGAGTACACTCTTGCAGGCAGCCACCAAGCTCCACCACAGAGACCAGGGGACTACCAGCCAGCCATGGGGCAAGCTCCGGCCACTAAAGCTTCTTGCGACTTCAGTCAGGTAAAGGTTACCCTGAGCATGTGTGTCCAATGTTCTCTGTCCAGCACTAAACCCATGATAACATTTATTCCCACAGAACGGAAAATGTATACAACCCACAACATCCGAGGTCATTTACCTTACTTTTAATGTTTTTCCTTTCTTCTTCCAAACCTTCCAGAGATATTACTTAAGTGTCCAATATATTTGAAAAGTGAAGTGAATGTATTTGAAGTTAAATGTATTGTCGAAGGCTTTCATGGTCAGAATCACTGGGTTGGTGTAGGTTTTTTCGGGCCTACAACTCCAAGGTCAAAGGATGGTTGTGTAGTATGTGAGTAGGCTGCAGCACAGCTGGAAAGGAGTGCCGTACCGTGCCTCTTTTTATGGATATGCAAACAACCCAGTGGTAGGATATGACAATCTTCCATCTGGTGGGCTGTTTCCGTAGGAAATATAGCATCTCCCCTTACCCTCGCCATTAGTATTGTATCTGACAAAGATGTAAAATCATAGAAGTTGGAAGAGGCCCCACATCCATTCTTATCCAATACACATAAAACATTTACAGTACAAAGCTGTCTAGTCATGTTCTGAAGACATTTTGTGCTGGGTTTAGCACAGCTGGTAAATCACCAACAATGATAAGATCTACCAACCAAAAGCTTCCCTGTTTGAAGCCCCACATCGGCATGAGCTGCTGACTGTTAAACCTAGCTTACTGTTGACTTAAGAAGTTCAAAAACAGTGGGTTGTTGTGGGTTTTTTTGGGTTATGTGGCCATGTTCTAGAGGCATTATCTCCTGACGTTTTGCCTGCATCTATGGCAAGCATCCTCAGAGGTAGTGAGGTCTGTTAGAACTACGAAAATTGGGTTTATATATCTGTGGAATGACCAGGTTGGGACAAAGAACTCTTGTCTGTTGGAGGTGTGAATGTTTCAACTGACCATCTTGATTAGCATTTGATGGCCTGGCAGTTGTTTGGTGTGGCTTGTTGGTGCCTGGGGCAATCTTTTGTTGAGAGGTGTCCTTGATTATTTTCTCTCTGTTGTTTTACTGTTGTAATTTTAGAGGTTTTTTTCATACTGGTAGCCAGATTTTGTTCATTTTCATGGTTTCCTCCTTTCTGTTGAAATTGTCCACATGCTTAGCATTTGATGGCCCGACAGTTTTTGGCTGTGGCTTGTTAGTGCCTGGGGGAATCTTTTGTTGAGAGGTGATTAGCTGTCCCTGATTGTTTCCTCTCTGGAGTTTCCCTGTGTTTGGGTGTTGTTTTGCTGATATCATTTTAGAGTTTTTTCATACTGGTAGCCAGATTTTGTTCATTTTCATGGTTTCCTCCTTTCTGTTGAAATTGTCTACATGCTTGTGTATTTCAGTGGCTTCTCTGTGTAGTCTGACATGGTGGTTGTGAGAGTGGTCCAGCATTTCTGTGTTCTCAAATAATATGCTGTGTCCAGGTTGGTTCATCAGGTGCTCTGCTATGCTTGACTTCTCTGGTTGAAGTAGTCCAGTGCCTTTCATGTTCCTTGATTCGTGTGTTGGGCCATGCTGCTGCATTTGGTGGTTCCTATGTAGACTTCTTGTCCACAGCTGCATGGTATACGGTAGACTCCTGCAGAAGTGAGAGGATCCCTCTTGTCCTTTGCTGAATGTTGCATTTGTTGGATTTTCTTGGTGGGTCTGTAGATAGTTTGTATGTTGTGTCTTGTATTTATTTGAAGTTAGCTGCTCTTAGAAAAGAGTTGAACATTTGTAGTGTGTTATAAACTCAGAGCAACAAAACATTGGGTTGTTGTAGGTTTTTTTCAGGCTATATGGCCATGTTCTAGAGGCATTCTCTCCTGACGTTTCGCCTGCATCTATGACAAGCATCCTGAGAGGTAGTGAGATCTATTGGAACTAGGAAAATTAGGTATATATATCTGTGGAATGACCAGGGTGGGACAAAGAACTCTTGTCTGCTGGAGCTAGATGTGAATGTTTCAACAACCCAGTGATTCCGGCCATGAAAGCCTTCGACAATACATTCAACAAAACATTTCTTGCATGAAAAGTCAGCTAGAGGCAGTCCCCAAGTTACTAACAAGATAGACTCTGCAGGTTTGTAAACTAATAATAATAATGATAGAGTACAATAATGGAAATGTAATAACAATAATAAAGTACAATAATAAATGTAATAATAATAATAAAGTAAAACAATAAATGTAATAATAATAATAAATAAACTAAAATAATATCTGTAATAATGATAGTAATAATAACAGTAAAATAATAAATATTGTTGACTCCAGTATAAGCCAATGGGAACTTTTTCAGCCTTAAAAAAGGGCTGAAAATCTAGGATTATACTTGAGTATGTGTGTGTGTGTATGTATATATGTATGTATGTATGTTTAGTTCCTTATAGCTTTTGAGTTGTCATTTAACAGGATATGTATGCAAGCTTGCAGTAGGTGGCGCTGTTGTTGCATGCGGTTACTGTGCTTCCATATTTCATTCCATTACCTTTCAGGTCTTGATACTGATACAGACATAAAATATAGACAGCATAAGAGTAAACTTTTTTTTTTCATGTCAGAAGCAACTTGAGAAACTGCAAGTTGCTTCTGGTGTGAAAGAATTGGCCATCTGCAAGGACATTGCCAATGGGATGCCCAGATGTTTTGACATTTTATCATCCTGTGAGAGTCTTCTCTCATGACATTTTTTTTTTGTCGTGTCAGGAGCGACTGGAGAAACTGCAAGCCGCTTCTGATGTGAGAGAATTGGCTGTCTGCAAGGACTTTTGGACTTCAGCTCCCACAATTCCTAACAGCCGGATGTTGGGAGTTGTGGGAGTTGAAGTCCAGGACTCCTGGGGACCCCAGGTTTGCCAATGCTTTATTTATAATGAACCTTGTAGACATCTCTTGGAGATTTAACAATTTTAACAGTGAAATCCTGGCTCTGGGATCAGGCCTTTGCGGGTTAAACTGACTTGATGGCAAAGCTATGGTTTTAACAGACTCTGATGGACTGCGTATAGGACGACGACATAAATTGGCAATTGTTTTAATGTTTTTATAATGTTTTGTACTGTTTTTACTTGATATGTATACCTATGTTTTCTGTTTGTTGTTAGCCGTCCTGAGTCCCTCTGCGGAGGTTGAGATAGGACGGGATATAAATGTCGTAAATAAATAAATACAGCGTATCTGCTCCCACTAAAAAGTCATCTTTGTTTGTCAGTAGAGCCTGCCTTCAGTTCAAAAGGTGCAAATGGGCCAAAACTGATTTTTGATTTGCTTACTTATTCCAGGTACGAAGGGAGGTGACTGCAGAGAAACTCCCTGAGCCTCGATCCGCTGACCCGGCTCCTTTTTTCATTCCTGAGGGCAGTGCCGCAATCCAGTGTACATCAGCCACCCCAGTTGCCACGTTTCACCAAGGGCATTTGGAAAAGGCCCGAGAGAACTCCAGGGCTCCCCCTTTGCACCTGAGGTCTGAGTCTGTCCCAACTGCATCGTCTTACGGATTTACCCCTCCTGTCCCTCCTGTGAGAACAATGGAAAGTAAAATAGCAGCAGCCATGCATTCAAACAGTGCGGACACTGTGAACCCAGCCACATACCATTCCTATATGGCTCCCTCCGCACTGCAGCAAACAGTAGAGGATCAAATGTTGCCACCGCCGCCACCTCCTCCCCTACCGAAACAAGCTTCCCTTCCGTCTACCTATTTCTCTCACCCGAAGGCAGAGAGCACTGCAGATCCTCCAGCATCAGAGAACTGTGGGCATCACAAGCCAACATCCATGCATCAGTACAGAGCTGAAAGCATGCCAGGGCACTTGTATCACAGCAAGTCTGAGCAACACCCGGGCTATCCTTCTCTGGCAGAGACCGCTCCTTCCATGGGCTCCAGGTACGGTGCATATGCTACCCAAGGGAAGAGCTCATCTGTCCATCACTCCAAGCCTCGCAGCCGAGTGGAATATATATCCTCCATGAGCCCACCAATGAGGAGCTCTAGTTATGCTGAGGAGACCCCACCGTATCCCAGCATTCGTAGGGTGCATTCGTTGCACGTGACGGCTCCCTCCACGATCCGATCAGTCCCCATCTCCCGTACAGAGGTGCCTCCTGATGATGAGCCCCTTTATTGTCCAAGACCTCTCTACCAATATAAGCCATATCAGCCCCATGCGGATTATCATGTCACACAGTTACAGCCTTACTTTGAGAATGGGCGGGTTCATTACCGGTATAGCCCCTACTCGAGCTCATCTGGCTCTTCATGCTATACTGCCGCCGATGGTGGACTTTATGACTTGGATCCATATGGCACTATGAGAGTGAGGCAGTTTCATCCTTTCCCAGGCAGAGACTTTGCATCTTATTCCAAGCAGACCAAAAGTCTCTATCGCTATCCGGGCCTACCCCCATATCCACGGGGAGGCTTTGTTGGACACTTGGCAGGCAAAGAACACAGCTTCATCAGCAGGGATGTGCCACCTGCTCCCGATGTCAAGCCCATGTATGTCTCCTGGGATTTGGAGGACATGGAAAAATACCGCATGCAGTCCATCCGTCGAGAAAGCCGTGCTCGCCAGAAAGTGAAAGGGCCCGTCATGTCCCAATATGACAATGTCACCCCTTCATTACAGGATGAATTACGAACTGTGGATGTTGTTCACATGCGCAGCAAATCTGATCCTGGGAAAACTGGACTCCTGACGGTTGCTGATGGAAAAGAAGGGAGATACCCAGGCAAGGGAGGCAGCCCTGAGGGAGACGAACGTTACTATGTGCCACATCCAGAACCTGATGTCGATAGAGCCCATTACCATGGGAACTATGGGAATGGGCAGTCGGAGAAACCTTGTCTCCCTCAAAAACAAAGCAGCCTCAGGAGTCGAAAGCAACATGAAACGAGCTGCAATTCAGCAGAGCACAGAACACACCTGCCACATGAAGCGAGCCATAGGCAGCCCCTGGATACTAAAAATGGACCGTCATATCCCGATTACCGGTCAAAGGGCCATCAGGAATTGTCAGAATCCATTGGATATCATCATTCTGGTGGGAAGTATGTCCCAGCTGCTCACGACGCCTCGAGGATAAATCATAAAGAGGTAAAACTGGCGGAGGACAAGGCTGATGTGGAGCGACCTCGACCCAGGCCATCCGCTTCTGCGGAAAAGCATTCCAGAGACTGCTACAAGGAGAGCGAGCACTACGGACAGCCTGCCGCAGTGCCACCTCCTAAACCGGAACGGAGCCACAGCCTCCGACTCCAACACCTGGAGAGCGGGGAGCAGCGGGACCCCGGTGGCCTCCTTTACCCATACCAAACCCTTGGCAAACGCCAAAGCACTATGACCGTTGTGTCCCAGTATGATAACTTGGAAGATTACCATACCATGCCTCAGCACCAAAGAGGAGGGGGCTATGCTGGAGGAGGGGGCTTTCTTCCCCCTTTTGCTCACCCACACAGTAGGACTTACGCCACCGCCCTGGGCCAAGGAGCTTTCCTTCCCACAGAGCTTTGCCTACAGCGGCAAGAGACTGAGATCCACGCAGAGTGACCTGGGGGGCAGAAGAAGGGATAGAGAGTAAGCAGCCCCTGCTGGACAGTGGACTGGTCTATTTTTTCAGTGATAATACAAAATTAAAAAAAATACATCAAAGCAACTCCTGCCATTAGCCCCCCTACCCACTCAGCTCCAGCCCTCCCTCCACCATGCTGCTTACTGTTTTTTATATTGCAAATGTATAGTTTTCCCTCCCTTGTATTATTTAACAATAGATTGCAACCATCAAGCAGGCTTTTGTTCAGGCTTGAAGACAAAAACAGTATCCGAGAAAACCAGAAATTAGAGCTGGAAATATAGGAAGGGGGGCATGCTGTGAAGGGTTCCCACTTCCTTCGATTTCCAGACCTATAGCTTTGTCACTATCCTCCAGAATCCTGTGCATGATAATATGTATTTACCGGTTGATACCGATATTTCTTCTCCAGGTAAAAGTCCCTTAATATGTGATCGATAGAGAGATTTAGAACGACAAACTTTCATAAATAATTTAACTTGGTATTTTAGCCTCCACGCACTAAACTCTAGGAAGAGATTATTTTATATTATTTGTTCCATGTTTGATTTTTAAATAATAATAATAACAACAATAATATGGTACCCTTTCCCCTAAATGTTCTCTCAGTGCTTGTTAAATTCGGATCGAATCTGAAATCGGTCAGTTGTTGCAGGAAATGCTGGATATGGTCCACGGAGGTGAAGAGAAAAGCAAAATGATCTTGTCTGTTTCAGTGCTTTCTCTTAAGAAATCCATACTTAGTTGCTTCAAAGATTGGGATGTATAAACCTCAGGACTGATTAGCATTATTTTGAATGGAGCTGATTTACCCAAGCTGACAGGTAATGCTTACATTTGTAACGTTTTAGGATCCCTTTTCATGACAAATTTGTTTCCCTAAGTAGTCTTCTAACAGTGGATATTTGGCAATCCTCTGCTGGATGAGCCCAACTAAAAGAGTAGCAAAATAGCTGTGTCCTGGCCCAGCTCCCAATGCTTTCAGTAGGGAGTGTCGCAGTATATTCTGCATAAGGGCAAGCTGATTTAACTCCCCATTAAAGTAAATTCAAATAGTAATTATTAATGTTGCGCCTCTGTCTTTATTGCTGATTATTTGTTAGTTATGACAAACATGCTCCCACGTACCTGCGAATTTAGTGACCCAACTTCTTCATGTCCTGAAATAATGTCAATTGGCTTGACCTAAGGGATAGTTAACTGTGTTGCAGCACACACCTGTCTAACCGTGTTGTTGAGGCAGATACGAAGAACCTGTGGCCCTACAGATATTGTTAGAGTCCAACTTTGATTAGTCCCAGCTAGCATATATAACAATTGAGCCGTAGATCACCATTTGGGAAGCCACAGGATGATTTCACCTTATATGTTTTTAGCATTTAGATTGGTGGTGCGGTGCACAAGCTGGTACACCATTTCCCTTATTTTTTAGATACCTGTAGCAATGGAACAGTATATTAGTTTGCTTTTGTGGTGAAGTTATAAATATCCAGTGCTTTTAAACATGAAAAAGAAAAAAGTAGAGATCTCAGACTTGCACATAACCTTAGGAATCAGAGAGTAAATACCCCAGTATTGCACTTACTCCATTAAAAAAAATCAGCATTCCAGTAGATGTCATGAAAAAAGCCCCTCAATAGTCCAGGCCAGGTATAAATGTGTTCTTCTTCTGGATCATCAAAACTCCATAGCTTACTTCAAGTCCAGAAGAGGTGCTCAGAACAGCTTTGTAATCATTCACAGATGATGAGGATCACTAGAAGGAAGACATCTTAGAGCACTGGTTCTCAACTTGTGGGTCCCCAGATGTTTTAGCCTTCACCTCCCAGAAATCCTAACAGCTGGTAAACTGGCTGGGATTTCTGAGAATTGTAGGCCAAAACATCTGGGGACCCACAGGTTGAGAACCATTGTCTTGGACTCGCAGTGGTTCTCAACCTGTGGGACCCCAGATGTTTTAGCCTTCACTTCCCAGAAATCCCAGCCAGTTTACCAGCTGTTAGGATTTCTGGGAGGTGAAGGCTAAAACATCTGGGGTCCCACAGGTTGAGAACCATTGTCTTAGACTCGCAGTGGTTCTTAACCTGTGGGTCCCCAGATGTTTTGGCCTTCAGCTCCCAGAAATCCTAACAGCTAGTAAACTGGTGGGGTTTCTGGGAGTTGTAGACCAAAACATCTGGAGACCCACAGGTTGAGAACCATTATCTTAGAGCATAAGTTTCGTTCATTGGCATTCCATTCTTTTAAATAATATGTTTGCAGGGGCACAAAGTCTGTCTTAAATGCAACATGTTGTTTGGTCCTCTAGACTTCCCAGATTGGTTTGTCACAATAAGAGTAGTTTGTCCTCTCCCTTTTTTTTTTGTCATTGTGGTATGAATTATTTTCAAGGTCTCCACCTTGTTTTAAGTGGGTATCATTCCTGAATGTGCTAAGTATATATTTAGTGGCCAGAAAACTCACTGTGAACCAGGTTTACCTCAGCCTTCTCTCCCTCCTTATAAAGAACCTTAAATCTTTTTGGTTTGGTAGGTAAACAAAAAAAAAATGTAGATTGGGCATCCCAGCCTGCTAGTTGTGCGGAGCAAGCCAGTTCCGCCATCTGTTCGGAGTCCTTGCATATCCTATCAAGTGAATCCCAGCTATGACCCACACAAGATTTTTCCTTAAACCCACATAATTTTTACATTTGAGTTCTTCACACTGTAAAAATGGCTGCATAGGTTCTCTTGGGGGTTAAGGTAACAACAAAACTTAGTGTGTTTTGGGATATAAAATGTTCAGGTTGTGAAGCTGTAGGGCAAACCTCTGTCTTCACGAAAGCCTTAATTTTCCTTGTATCCTCTCCATATATTGGCCTTAAGTTATCTGCCCTCCAGGTAAGATCAGAAGCAAGCTAACCTATTGTAAAGTTGTAAATTTTGTACATCTTCATGCCCAGTGGCAGTAGAAATCAAAATCCAGCCAATCAAGAGAAAGGACCTCACCGGTTAGGTTTTGGATGCTAATCACTTTCAGATCATTTCCTTAAACCGCACTTTGAGCTCCCACACCCCATAGTCAGGACATCCAACCTAGTTTTGAAACAATATCTTGAATTCAGTCTTCCCTTGTATAGTATGTATCACCTAGGATGTTAGTGTCTGATCACAAATTATTTGAGGGCCATCTTCGCAAGAAGTGCTGCACAATGGTGTGATTGTGTAGCCTTTACCATAAATGGGAGCCAATGTTTCTTAAGCTTGAAAGGCACATGACAGTTGCCTGTTCCCCTATATTTTTTGCCACTGCCTTGTCTTGATCAAAAATAAAATCTGCCACCAGTCCCCCTCACTCAGCTCACCTGCCTACCTAAGAAAGCCATAAAATTAACTATGCAGTCCTCCTCGTGTACTACGGTTAAATTTGGATCTCTCAGAGTTTTGGAGAACTCTGCCTCTTTATCAGTTCCTTGTGTTTGCTGTCGAACTCAGTCACAGCTCCACTCTCACAGGAGTAGTAACCTCCGTTGAGCTAAAAACTGGGGAGGAAACACATAGGCATCCTCCCATCAGTTGGAGAAGTAGGGAAAGAGAATGCAAAGCCAGGTGAAGTGTCTAATTCCCAGCCATAAATCCTAGCTCTTATCCCCGGTAGCAGTTTGCCGAGTGGCAAAAGAGTTATCCTGACAAGAACCCGAGTTTGGCAGAGTCTATCGATCCTTACCACTCACTGCCTTTATCTGCTTGCTGAGGTTTCAGCAAAGCTGATTTTTCCCAGCCTTAGAGGCCTGGATTGCAATTTCATTCTCACTTCATGCACACACTTCTAAAACAAAGTTCGCATGTCTGCTAAGAGGCAAAATCAGGGGCCTCATTGTGAGCCCTGTCAGTAGAGGTAGCAGGTATTTGTGATCCTGTGTAGTTGCTCATAATAGTAAAAAAAATTGATCAGGTTAAAATTTTATGCAGATGATAGTGGAAACAATTGTGCCTAGGCCTTTGCAAACATAACCAGGGGAGATGGCATATTACCTGGAGGGGTTCACAATGAAAATTGCACAGCTGTGGCACAAATTGCTGCTGACAGCCAAAATTTGCTTGAAATAATGTACCCTTGTAGCTAGAAGAGCTTTTGGGCCCTTGTGTATTCTTCAGGGTTGCCAGTTGGGTACAAGATGAGACTAGCAGCTTTGACCTGGAGCAAAAGGAAATTCCATAAAACTTTTCCAATCAGGCTGAAGGTACTTGTCCTCTCTTGGCTTTCAAATGCCAACTTTCAGCTTCTCCTCGCAAGATGACTGTTGTTTTACTGTATTGTCGAAGGCTTTCATGGCCAGAATCACTGGGTTGTTGTAGGTTTTTTCAGGCTGTATGGCCATGGTCTAGAGGCATTCTCTCCTGATGTTTCGCCTGCATCTATGGCAAGCATCCTCAGAGGTAGTGAGGTCTGTTGGAACTAGGAAAAAGGGTTTATATATCTGTGGAATGACCAGGGTGAGAAGGACTCTTGTCTGCTGGAGATAATCAAGGTGGTCAGCTGAAACATTCACACCTAGCTCCAGCAGACAAGAGTCCTTTGTCTCACCCTGGTCATTCCACAGATATATAAACCCCTTTTCCTAGTTCCAACAGACCTCACTACCTCTGAGGATGCTTGCCATAGATGCAGGCGAAAAGTCAAGAGAGAATGCCTCTAGACCATGGCCATATAGCCCGAAAAAACCTACAACAACCTGTCGTTTTACTGTCACAAAGCAGGGAGATACACAGAGATACTAACATGAAGAACACAACTATGGTACTTCTCCATGGCCCTTCTCCCCATTGCCCACAAAGGACTGCTGTGCTCAAAGGGAACAGAAGGGAAGAGAGGACAAGTACCTTCCTCTAATTTGGCATAGTTTTATGTATCTTCTCTGCTCCATGATCAATTCAGGGTCAAAGTTTTAGGAACCACATCTCCTATCCAACTTGGCAACCCTGGTGTTCTTTCAGCCCCACCTCATTCATTTCACTTAGTACATTGACAGCAAAGTGTTGACTGACAACAGTGTGGCATTATATGGTAGGGAACGAAATTGTAGACTTCTTGGTTTCTGTTTTGCTTTTTTCAAGGCGGCTTTAGCATGACATTTTCTCCAAATCCTTGTGCAATGGAAACTGAGGCAGTGGGCATGGTACAGTTTGACATGTGCTCAGTAACTTCAGTGTCTACAGTAAGTTTTATATTGTATAGTTCCAGTGCAAAATGAACAAGAAATGGTTGTTGTGCAGCTTACTTTCCTGCTGTGGAAAAACTTGAGTTGTCTTTTTTGAGCCACACAAGAGAAGCACCCAAGAAAGACTTGGGTGATCTCTCGGTCTCTTCTTCTCTTTTAATTTATATAGTGTCTTATTTTTTATTCTTTATTTTATACTTTTTGTGTGCGAGAAATTGGTGTAAAATGTATATGCTGATGAGCTCATGCTCTTTTAATGTAAATATCTTTGTGACATCCCATTCCCATCCATCTCTTGTAAATATTTAGAACGTCATTTTTTTTCCACACTGATATGGAGCGGATGCGTTCCTTTTTCTTTTCTTTTTTTTAATTTGTACTGTAATGCTATGATCAGATTTGAGGTGTCTTGTGCTATTAAAAAACCAACAACCGACCTGACAGTCCCACAAAACTCAGATGTACAGCTCAGCAATTAATGAAGCCAGGTTAAAACTTACTTTCTGGTCTCTGTGTTTTTGTTCTTTCTTTACATTGTGACATATAAGATAAGAATCCGGGGTCAGGACTGAGAATTCCAGGAGCATTGAGAAGTCAACAACAGTTAATACTGTTCTGCAGACATAGCATCATAGAGTTGGAAGAGACCTCATGAGCCATCCAGTCCAATCCCCTGCCAAGAAGCAGGAAAATTGCATTCAAATCACCCCTGACAGATGGCCATCCAGCATCTGTTTAAAAGCTTCCAAAGAAGGAGCCTCCACCACACTCCAAGGCAGAGAGTTCCACCGCTGAACAGCTCTCACAGTCAGGAAGTTCTTCCTAATGTTCAGATGGAATCTCCATTGTTGTAGTTTGAAGCCATTGTTCTGTGTCCTAGTCTCCAGGGCAGCAGAAAACAAGCTTGCTCCCTATGACGTCCTCTCACATATTTATACATGGCTATCCTCTCAGCCTTCTCTTCTTCAGGTTAAACATGCCCAGCTCTTTAAGCTGCTCCTCATAGGGCTTGTTCTCCAGACCCTTGATCATTTTAGTCGCCCTCCTCTGGACACATTTCAGCTCTTTAAGCCACTTCTCACGGGGCTTGTTCTCCAGACCCTTGATCATTTTAGTCACCCACCTCTGGACACATTCCAGCTTGCCAACATCTCTCTTGAATTGTGGTGCCCAGAATTGGACACAATATTCCAGGTGTGGTTTGACCAAGGCAGAATAGAGAGGTCGCATGACTTCCCTGGTCCTTCAACATGGGTGATGAATATTTTGACACTTATTGGTTAATTGTTCAACACCAGCTCAGTTAGAGTAATATGAGAAAATAAGTCATACATATATTAAAAAAATGCATACATATTTTTCTTAGCTAGGCAATGCAGTTATGAGAACCAACAAAGATGATAATGCTATGTAAAGTTGAGGCAGTACAAAAAGACCACGTCTTTGTTACTGATGTGCTGTTTCGCTAAGGAATCCGTGGCTGTGAGTTGAAGGAGCTCACCAAGGTTGTTGATGACCAGGTCTCTTGGAAGTAGAACTCATGGGATCGCCATAAAGAGACACCAACATGATAGCAAATAATCACAATTCTAAAAAGCAACATGCGCCTCTGGATCTCTTCATCAGGCTGGATGTTTGTCTTTCTTTTAAAGCAAAGTGATTAAATCATCTTTGAGGTCCTTCAGAGGTTTCAGCAACCAATGTAATATTTGGCTATGATGCTATAAAAGCCAAATGCATCTGTGATTTCTCCCCCTTTCCTTCAGGTGAAAGCAGAGGGTATCAGCATCCCTCTGGCACATGCCTTGCTTGCTGAAGAGGGAGGAGTACCAACCTTTGCTGAGTTCAAAAATAGCCATACGCAGAAGTAGAGTTCACTTATGCTTCTGTGTGACACTAATAACAGGTTTTTAAAGGCCATTCTTATAGTAGGAACAAAATGGTTTGGAATACCTTGGAACAGGAAGTGGGGAAGCCTGGTGCATGTTTGAATCAAGAAACATTGAATTGTTTTTAAAAGTACAGCAATAAATATTGCTATCGGTTTTCATAACTGAGATTAATTATTCACCTCAGTAATATTTATGGAGAAGACAATATTGTTGGCCCTTTAGTCACAAAAGTAACTTGTGGCATTATTTTAAAAATGTTTACCACTGAATCCTACATGATACTAAATCCTATTTTACTGTTGCCTCTGAATCCGATCTCTGGGTATTCTTTGCAATAATGCTTCTTGGATTGCTGTGAGTTTTCCGGGTTGTATTATTTATTTATTTATTTATTTATTTATTTGTGGCATTTATATGCCGCCCTTCTCACCCCGAAGGGGACTCAGAGTAGCTTACAAGATATCTATACATACAATATATTATATTATTAGCATAGCACAGTATCACTATTATATATTACTATATTGTACTATACCATTATATTGTAATAATAGTAATATTACATGCAGTATAAATTTATATAGTTGATATTGTATTATTAGTTTTATATTGTACTAGCCATCCCCTGCCACGCATTGCTGTGGCCCACATGGGGGTTCTGTGTGGGAGGTTTGGCCCAATTCTATTGGTGGGGTTCAGAATGCTCTGTGATTGTAGGTGAACTATAAATCCCAGGAACTACAACTCCCAAATGTCAAGATTTTATTTTTCCCAAGCTCCACCGGT